TCAACGTCGCCTCTGAGTTTGTACTTGTGTACATAAATTACACACAAAAGCATATGTACTCAAATGCATGCGACTATTGAATAAGTAGAATTGCGCATACTCAATGCTCAACGTGAGGCTCGGTTATCATTTATTATCGCCAATGCGTACTAAAAATATATGCGGTGTAGGTACTAGTATTATCATAGAACAATGGTATTATGGCCAGCCCGCAGTTCCACATAAAAAAAACAATWATCATAATCAAAATACGAGGCAGCTCTAATTAAACCATTGTAATATTAATTTATATAATTATATCTCTCATTTTTTTCTTGTTCAAATTGTTGTTTCTGTTGGATTTTGGTTCGCCTTCGTTTAAATTTGTGTACGAGTGCTTCCGTGCTTTTTATTAAACAATAATTAGTTATTACTCTGGTTACTAGATATTATCTGTCAAGAATCAGAATTATGAATCCAGTGGTAGACGTGGTGTCTATAGACACTATAGAGACACTATAGAGTTTATAGTCAAAAAGACTATACATAAGTTATACATTTAACATACAAATTAATTTAGTTTTATTCAATTTATATTTTGGGACTTGGCATACTTAAAAAGTCCTTTTCAGGACTAGGCAATTGTCTAGGCTTACTTAAAAAGTTCATTTCACGATCAATATAATCATAATTATGTTTATTCCATCAAACACATCAATACATCATCATCCACGGCCCAAACTTCAATAAAGCTAGGAAGACTTCAACATCCCTGACAACCTAGCTGTACGAAGCAATTTGTCCATTTTCTAACTATCAAAACATAATAATACCTATATCGAAAAAAAGTAAGGTTTCAAGTAGCTATAGAGAAAACTCGAAGCATAGCATCATTATAGGAAAAATTTTAAGTGCGTTTGAATTTTAAATTTTTACGAAATAGCGTAACTATAACGATTTATCCTCAAACGATTTTAAATATTTGTTATTACTCAAAAAGTATAAGTCGTAGATACATGAAAATTTTACCAGTTATTTAGATTGGCATTTCGTTTACATGGTTTAATTTTAAAAATATTTTGACTTTTTTTGAGATATTTAAAGACAACTGAAATTTTCAATTTTACTGAAAACTTTTTTTTAAAGTGTCGATACATTTTTTTTGGCCCAATCAAAATACTTGAAATTTTAATACAAAGTTTCTCATAAGTTATT